GTGACCAAAGTGCCTCGCCACCGTAAGCAGACATGTACTTCGAAACGCCACTTTATTTCAAAAAGAACGGCTCGTTAAATTGGCGTGTAAAAAGGTGTGTGTATTATTTTGAATTTCACTGGTCATAGACTGAAAGTATCATTTCATAAACTGATTTTAGTCCTCTGTACAACTAATGTGGCCCACACTTAGTCTGTGAATCTCACATACGGTACACACTTAAGGCGTTCCACTGAAAATGCGTGTAAAAAAAGTATGTGTATTTTTAAAAACGTATTGGTAATAACATATCGTATCTTATCTCAATTCCCGTGCGTGTGCGACCCCGCCGCTTTAAGGTGTACATGGACCTGTCACTTATTTCCGTACTAATCCCCCTTGTTACAGTACTTATGCACTAGAAGGCACTTCGAATGTAGGCGAAATTGACATGGTCAGACTGACAAAAAACTATTCTCTATGAGGTAGTTAGCAATATCCAAACACTAATAAGTATCCATTGGTGGAGCTCTAAAATGGAAACAGCTGCGTCATGATTTACCGAAGGGAAGTAACCATATTGTTGGGTGTATTCAACTATTTTGCGCCCACCTGTTGTAAGTAATACCATTAAATTAAAGATACCGTAGACTATCCAAGTGGTATGTGACCAGAATTGGGTTTGAACAAGTTAAAATGAGTTGGTAATACGATTATAGTCAGTCATTTTCTGTGTAAATATATATCGGGATTGGTAATTCGCTTATGTAAACACACAGAAAGGATGATGACACAACCAGCAGTTTATTTAGTTGTGATGTTTTCCCGTAAGCGAGGCATACAATTATATCGAAAAGGTATCCCTAACTCGCTGTTAATATATAACGGTTCTCATAATTCATATTTAGTTGGGGAGCACAAAGACGTGCATTCCAATATCAGAGTAATACACTCACCCTGTGCCACATTGTTGTCCAGTATTATCGGGTTGCCGTCATACGCTGTCAGGATACCGTTATCATCGAACGTCATGTTTAGATATCCCAAATACTTTCCGTATTTATATGCAGTAATGACGGGAACCTGGACCGAAGCATCATGTGATGAAGTGACCATTGTTGGATAAGGACCTTCAACTATGTCCTCATCCTCTTCGGCCGGTGGCGTACCTATCAGATCGATGTAAAACAGAGTACGGATGACAGTTTAAGTCATTGCAACATAGATCTGGATATAAACACCCAAACATCAAGTGATTTGTATACAGCATATTATTTGCACACAGATGACGATATCTTTCAATATTTATGTTTTTAACAATGTGAGAACAAGAATACCGATGTGCCTAAACTATGAGCATCTACTATTAAATTACACTCTGTTAAAATAACAACACAAACTGATCACCATTACGAGTAAAAGTTATGTTTAATATTTCTAGTCTTTGCCCAGATTACCGAAATTGACCACAGAGGGCGCATCAAGTTTACACTTGCAGTAAATTTTCCTTGTTGCTGTTTTGAGTACAAAATCGATATGTACTAAACTGCAAACAACCGTGACTGCAATTTACATATCGTTTTTATGTTTGAGAAACTTGAAAGTCTTACAACCTATCATAGTGCTTTATGAGAAATATATTGTGCAACTGTCCGAAAAAGTGAGGTACACATTCAATCAACTGTAGTGCGGGATTTACAGTGTAAAATTATATGAATTCTGAAACCACTTTAAACAAACAAAAATGCAATGACACGCCGTTGTGGCAATAAAATCAGCGCCCTTATTCAAGTTGGCTAACAAAGAAAGGTGTGTCATTCAGGCAAATCTTAGTATGTACCTAGTTTTCCGCTAATCACGGATCGGCAAAAATAAAACGCCAAAATAAGCCCTCGAAACTCGCAATCTAATGTTTTTTTTATCCGAAGAGTAACTCTTTTTTTTTATAATTTATCCATATTTATAAAAACACCCAGCACTGTGTTTACAGTCGATTATAATCAATTACTACTGCGACTTTTTCCCAAGAAATGCGTCTTTGCATTTCTTACCTCATAACAATTAATTAAATATTACCTGTATACAGCAATGTGTGTGAGTGACCCCCTATGACCAGGTCAACTCCTTTTACTTGCTCTGCTATCTCCATATCTTTAGTGTACCCAGAATGTCCCAGAGCAATGATCTTGGTAATCCCGTCATTCACGAGTATATCCACTTCCGCCTGAACAGCCTCGATTTCGTCAGTAAATATAAGATCACCTGCAACATCACAAATCGGCAGTGACAGAAAACATTTTCAATCTAAGCGCACGTACGTCGCGTATCGTTTTGGAAAACCTAATTGGTCTTCATTAGAATATACTTTATAGGGCGTACTTGTGTCTTCAAGTTCAAGTTCAAATTACTGTGAAGCATAATATGATGATTCAAAATACCTGTAGTGGACCCAGCAGTTTCATCGAGGGTGTAACCAACCAAACCAATCCTTTCCCCGCCTATCTCCAACACAGTGGATGGGTAATACAATCCGTCAATCGACGGTTCATATGTTGCATCAATATTCGCGCTAATCACAGGGAATGTCACATTGTTTAAAAACGGTATTAAACCGTCGATACCGTTGTCAAATTCATGGTTACCAAGTGCCTGTAAAAACGAACCATGTGAACGTTAAACGTTACAAAAAAAAGTATTATCATGTGTTGATAATGTACCATTTTTTTCATTTGAACCTGTTAATGTCTGGCCCATTCGATATCATGGCGCCATGACGCAGTGATAACGATTTTTAACGAGATTTCAACAAACACTGTGTACTCATTTGTTGCATGGCAACAACCAATATGGACAGGTACCTCGACGGGCGTAAATTCATGATAAGACTTGTTGTACATTCTGTCGAATTATAGTACAATTCGCCAAATTACGGATACCTGTTTTTGTACATGAACTCCCAAATACAGGGTAATCATGACTTGTGAGATCGAAATGTAAGTTCATACCCATTCACGTGAAATGCTGTAAAACGTCAAGTAAATGAAAATTTGCGTACGCCTTATAAACGATAAAAATAGCTTAGCGCATTGTTTTCAGTTTCTTTAATGTCAGAGATTATCGAGGGAGCTATATATTGTTTCGCTTTTATTGATTCCTTAATTTACTACTCGAAATTTACGAATTGCCTAACGTGCAAAGCAAACATATTTATCCCTAGTCGAAGCCCATTTTTCTGTAAAGGGGCGTGTCCATTGGACGAACAAACTTACTGATATAGAATAAAGATAACGTGAGTGTCTATAATAGATATATAAACTACTTACCATACAGTCATACTCCAAACTGTTCATGAAATATGAACTAGGCGCGCCGTTGAAAACAAAGAACCACGCGGTACCCATGAACTGATCGCCGGCATCCACCAGTAGCACATTGGGGT